GAGTTAACGACGTTAATACATACACTACATACATAGCTAACATGCCTGGTCACATACATTACATATATACATAAACTATAATGTACAAATAAACATGTTTGTCTCATAAGTAACAAAAGAATATGATAACACGAAAACACGTAAACAACCTACTGATAAACTATAACATGTTTGTCTCATAAGTAACAAAAGAATAGAGATAACATTGTAAACAACCTTCAATAACAAATTTAATAACTAAACCAATAACAAACACCATTTATCATCAGTAGTAGAAATGGTATAAATAGATGTAAGCATAAACATGTAAGGAGTTCGAGATTATACGAATTCAAATAAAGAGCTCTTGCTCAGAAAAATATAAAAATATTTTTTTTTTTTATAACTTTCCTGACTTGAGTATTAAACTGGTGGCTCAACCGGTCTTAAAAGCCATTTTCTAATCCTGTAACGTTACAAAGGATAAGGAAAAATATAAAATCCCACGGGAAGTAAGACTTCCAGCACTACATATTTGCAAAAAGTGCTTAAATAATTAATATAAACACAAACAACACACGATTCAAAACAAGTGAATCGAAAAGTGAATCAAAAAAGTGAAACACAAAGGCGAAACTGGATACCTTACGTAAATTAAAAACAATAAAAAAAACAAAAACTTACGACGACAACAGAAAACTAGAAAACCCAATAAAAATGGAGGAACAACTAGCTCAACTACACGCAAACATGGCTGCATTGCTAAATCAGATCCAACAACAACAGGTGGACTTCACAGAGAGAGTAGCTCGGCTAGAGCAACAAAACGCTCCACACGAAGTGGTACTACACGACGAAGTCAAACTTAACATCACCGACCCAAGGGATATAGACCTTGAATTGTTCATATCTCTACCAAAATTCGATGGAGATAAAGAGCGATACCGATCATGGAGATCACAAGTTTGGACCTTCATGGAAGCGATAAAGAACTTCCAATACCATCCAAAATATTACAGCGCCCTGGGAATCATACGAATAAAGATTACAGGACCAGCTGCGAATATATTAACAAATCACGACACCAAATTAAATTTTTATTCAATCATCAACCGACTTGACTATACTTATGCTGACCAACGCCCACTATATGTCCTCCTGGACCAAATGAAAAAAATCTCACAAGGAAGAAAAACTCTCGCAGAATTCCACGGTGAACTATCTAAGGCACTTAATTTAGCCTTAGCCAAAATCGAAATGTCCAGTGATGACAACAACGAAGGTATTAAAACTTACGCCAACCAAGAGGCAGTAAGAACGTTCATCCTTGGCCTAAATTCAAAATATACCAGCGGTACACTGTATAGCCATAATCCAACAAATTTGGAATCGGCATACGCGACAGCCTGTACCATATCACACGATAACGTAAATGAAGAATTCGAAACACAGAACGTACAACCCAGATTCCAGCATCATAGGCAAAATCGGAGCACCTACTCACAACCACATCGTGAAGAGAGGTACTATAAGCAAAGCATCAGAATTCAAAGAAACGACTACCAACAACGAGGAGACCATCAACAAAGAAGCTTCTTCAATCAACAAAGACAAGCTGCACCTATTCCAATGGACG